GATCAACTAGCCCAAACAGTATCAAAAGCAGAGATTCACCGAAAAATGATTATGCTGTCAGTCTGGTAGGATAGCAAAGGAATTTTGTTTTTTGAACTCATGCCGCAGAACCAAACGATAAATTCAAACGTGTATGTTGAACAACTGGAAAAACTGAAGCCCTCACCTTGCGCCTTCGGATTACCATTTGTTTCGTTGGCCCTGACCTTGCGCCTTCGGATTACCATTTGTTTGGCCCTGACCTTGCGCCTTCGGATTACCATTTGTTTGTCCATGCAAAACTCTTTAAATGGTAAAATTTTGACCAGCGCGGATGATGTCGGATCACAACTAATTCAGTTTTTTAATAGCATGTGGGATCACACCTAATTCAGTTTTTTAATAGCAAAGACAGACTATTTTACGAAGGGGGCATTTTTACTCTGCCAGAAGGATGGAAAAAGGTCATACGGAATTTTTACTCTGCCAGAACGATGGAAAAAGGTCATCTGTAAAAGGTCATCGACAAGAACGGTCAATAGCTAATTGAATATCTAATTGAATATCGATCGACAAGAACGGCCAATATCTAATTGAATAAAGTTATTCGTCGACAAGAACGCCCAATATCTAATTGAATAAAGTTATATTTTTAAACAAAAATTCCGAATTTGCCTTCTTATTTGAAATCGGCAATGACTTAGTTGCCAACTTAATAATTAGGGTTAATAGTGTTTACTTCGTCTGACCTAAAAAGAAACCGCGTCAGAAGCCCGAATTCTTAACAAAACCAAATCAGTCAGGAAGTTCGGGGATTCAATTATGGATGGAAAAAAATGTGGATATGTTTATTTGAATTGAGTAAATTAAATATTATCTTGGCTAAATTCTACAAGTCACTCATAACTGTTCTTTTCATGGCTATCTTTGATTATGTTTTAAGCCTTTTGACAATTACTGGAAAAGCTATAATTAGAATAGGCCATGTAGGGACACTCAAATTGGCAAGCTTGTCACACTCAAAAGGAAACTTTGGCCGTCATTAGACACAAAATTCTTCTCTAGCTTACTGACAGCTACGCTTTCATCACGGAGCACTCCGTTCTTCATAACTTTTCCAATCGCCTTTCCCATTTCCATATCTCCAAATCCCTAGCAGTAGCTTTCATTCAGGCCGCCACCAGCGATCCGGTTCCTTCCCCAAAGTGACAAACCTCTAGAGTCAAATCCTCCAGCCAACTCCTCATCGACAACTACCTACCCATCGCTCCACACAACTTACTTCCCCTGTTAATCCCCACCCAATGAAGCAATATTATTTCAAGATCTACCGACCGAGTATTTGGACTCTGACGTATTAAATGCAGACTTGACTGTGAAGGTTACGATTAGTATGGAGAGATAAATAAAAAAACACCCGATACAGATAAAGCGGACTTCTTCTATAGACAGCCGTCAATACAGCGGTTTGCTTACCTTAAGGGGATTCAGGGAGACAAAAAGGAAATCAGCCAACTTGCTAAAAGCCAATGACGCGGTCTTTCACCAATCCAACTAGGAAATCATCCCAAATAATCACTTTGTCCACAGGATTTCTTTTAATGGCTTTGAGAATGGTAACGGCTCACGTGTATTCCTTAAATTGATCCTTTTTTTCCGATAAACCCGTCACTTATATTTAAGTGAAGCAGTTAAAACCATCAAAAATTTTGACTCCCTTTCACCAAATTCAGTCAATGAAATATCTCAAAAAATCTCAAACGATTTCAACCGTTTTTCTCAGTTGTATGTTAGTAAAAATAGAGAAAAATTTTACTAGTGTACAACGGGATTAAGAGGCTCAGCGCGAAGATTTTCAAAGTCAATCCTGCTGTCCAGATCCTCATCTACTTCTCCGATAAGGGCCCTAGAAGAAATAAGAGAATGAAAGCTGAGAGGAACCATAAAACACTACTCATCTTCTTAATAAAATAATGTAGAGAGAGGGAGAGAGAGAGAGCGCGCGCAAATTAAACAAGTGCATTGAGGAATGGTGAAACACAGTGTTTTACTTTGGCGTGTACTTAAAAGCCGATAAATCTTGAACTTTTCCCCATCGATACAATGGCTACACCGACAAAACATTGTAAGGAAAATCTAATTGTGTGCTTTTCAATTAGTTGGTTGCAGCAATATGTAATCATAAGATGCCCATCGACTTACCCCTCTGGGGACAAAAGCATTTGCATGTGATAAAAAGGAGGCATATTTGCCATGAATAAGTAAGATGGCGGGAGTAGTTAGTGCAGCAGTTAACATTTAAAGATGACAGACTACCATAAAAAGACAAAGTTTGAGGCATCAAAGTAAAGATCCAGACCGCTTGCACGAATAATGTAAATTTGGCGGACCAAAATAACGACCAATTTGAATTTCAACACCCTCTTTAACTCAACTTGTAAGTCCAGACGTGATTACTTTCGCGCGAAAGAGTAAGTATCCCTAGTTAATTCATAGTTAATGAGTTGTCAATTAAAACCACGACAAAGATGCATAAATCACTTTTCTATTTTAAACCAGTAAGTTCTACTCAATTACTTATACGCCTTCCACTTTGGGGTGCATTATGACTATCGGTAAGAAATCCCAGGAATGGTCCCTTAACCATACCATAAACTCGATTAAGGCTTCGTATTCAGTAAATCATAGAATAGTAGTATGCTGTACTAATTTTGTGGCATAACAAACTATCCAAAACAAGTGTATAGGTAAAGAAAGGTTAAAGAGAATCGAACGAGGTCAAGGCACATTTTGGCACACAAATATACTCTACTCAATGGGCAAATGGGCGAAAAAACTAGTAGAAAAGATGGAGTAAGACCGAAAATACGTTAATCAACTAATTTCGACATCAGGAACTGATTACTTAGCATCCATCACGTGACAAAATGCTGGTAAATCGAGGAGGCATAAGCAAGAACAGGAATAAATAAAAAATTCAGCTGAATTTGAATACAAATTGCAACCTCAAACTGCGGTGACAAATAACGAAAATCGAACAACATTGGCTCTCACCCTAACGACACCACGGAGAACTCAGTGATTTTTTATTCAAATTAAGTGATGTTTGTGTTGTGTATACACCAATGAATTGTTCTTCTATCCCTATCCTCGTTTTGTGACCCCTCTAAGACTCCCCTGCCCCCACTTGGGCAAAAAATGAAAGGCAACTTACACATTTTGACCACGTATGATAGACAATCCAAGAGGCACCTTCTCCACACCACGATCTGGACTAAAAACTCTTTCATGGCTATCACTGACAATGAGATTGGTAACATTGTCAAATCCTTTCAAGGTACCCTAGGAGAGAATAAAACGAGGGATATTCTTCAGAACAATAACAGATTATTCTTCAATAAATTAGAAAACACAAGAACTGTTCACCGAGGAGATTTTACCTAAATTCACAACTTCCATTCGTGACGAAAAATTATCTTATATACATATTTAACCACCACAGATGGCAGAGATTTATAATGGCCAAATAAATGCTGCAAGGAATTAGAAACTATTTTAGGCGAACGAACTTCCTCATTACCTTCCACTTTATAAAATCCCGCAAATGTGAGAACAGCAAAGATTAAGAGTTAAGTGATTAACCCCCATCCCACGGCGTATCTCTGTCTCTTTCCCATGTCGTTATTTCCCACCTGCGTTCCAAATAAACGCCACACCAACCCCCCCCCCCCCCCCCCCCCCCCCCCCCTCCCCTCCTAAATCCAATTAACTAAACGATATTACACAAGTGAATAATTATTCGTTTGGTATAAGTTGGTTTATAAACTACTTTAATTAACTGATTTCTCGAAGTTAGTTAGAAAGTTGGTCATAAAATTGTTCAACGGTATTTTCCCACTCGTAAAATTAATGGATTCTTGACAATGACAATCATTCGATGTTTTTAATACATAAGCATTTTGTTAATATACTGCTTAATTGAAATTAGAAATACATTGACAAATGAATTTAGTAAACGTAAATTGTCACCAAGCCTAAAAGTTAATCCATCCTCAAATAAGCAAACCGAGATTTCCAGCATAAGTGATTTTTTTATGTCAAAATAAATGCTCGCCAATAAAACCAGTTCACCGGAATATTAATTTCTATTTTAGTTGAAAGAGATATTATAAATCAATAAAATTATCAAAATTTGGGAAATTGATGAGCCCCCCGATTCAAATACTAAATGTGGTGCACACATTGGTAAAATCTACCTATTTCAATGACAGTACGAAAAGCATTGGTAACAATGTAGACGCAAAACCATAAAAAAAGTCAGAAAGAGAAATTGCTGCGGACTTACAATGATCGAATGGCCGTCAGATGTGATAATATTGACAGTTCCTAGTTGATCAAGGAGAGAAGTATAGTTAAGGCGAAATACGAAAACATTGATTTGAAAATAATTACTATATAACGGTGGTCTTGAAGGCATAATCACTTCAGTTTCGTCAAATCAGGACATGAGAGTGGTAGAATGCGCGCATTGAATTAACACGACCGCTTTCTAAGCCAGAACCGCTCACCCCAGGGGATGGGGGAAGAGTTTTAAGAGTAGTGAAAAGGGTCAATACATTCAAAGAAGTTAGAACTTTGCCAAGAAAGCAAATTAGATCGACCACACTATTGCTCCATGCAATAGATGCGCACAACACCTATACGTCAATAAAATAAAGTGCAGAAATTGAATCTGTAAATAACAATGCATATAAACATAAGCTAAGAAAGGAGTCCAATTAAAATCATGAGCTTGTAAAAATCGGCAAAGCAAAGAGACTATAGAAAATGAAATTAAACTTAATTCAAAAGGATACGTCCAACATAGGCTTCCAGTTCCATGACGTTGGCGCTGAAAAAAAATGTGGAAATGATAGTGTCAACATATTAGCTAGAAATGATTTGAAAGCAAAAAAGTTTGTACTAGTAATATATATATATATATAGATGGAGAAACTTTGATCGAATGAGTGCAAATTACAGGTCTATTGCACATTTCTGCCCTATTAAGGATACTTTTAAAACTCCAGACTAAAGTGCTGCCCCTGGTAGGGAGGAAATGAGGATGGAGAGATTTGGTGAGATTAGCGCGGTTAATTAGCCTCCTCATCCTCCTCCTCTTCACCTCCTCCTAATCTTCACAGAAAAACAAAACCTCGCTCACTAGTGCTCAAGTAAGAGATTGACTCCTCTGATTGCTTAAGAGGAAGATCAAGTTAGAAACTCTAGAAAATTGCTAATATTGATTTATTTAATTAGGTTCAATCGTATTTAAGGACTTAACTATTCAGAAAACATAAAATTTCCACGCACACAGAGCAAAAATGTACAACCAACAGTAATAGCGGCCAGACAAATGGAACAATAGAACAACATTTTTTGTCAAAATCGGTCAATTTATTTGAGCACTTAAATCTATACAAGCCAGATAGGAAACTAGATTCTAAGAAAAGGTAGGCGGAATAGTTTTCAGGTGTCCACCCTGCCTTTGGTAGACCTTGAAGAGACAGGGTAGATGTCTTCTCGGATAGGAGTGCGTTCGGCCCATTCCTTGTAGATTGGGATAAATTTCTTGAAAGCCCGAAGAGAGTAGGGAGGAATGATAACCCCACCGGTTTGGTCGCTGGCACCGACACTCGAACCATCTAGAAGAATTGATCAAATAAAAAAGGGTCAGAGAACTAAAAGAGAGTTGAAGCAATGTTAACCTATTAAAGGATGATCGCAAAAATGAGCTTAAATTGTTACTTCAGTGTTGAGATAAGTAACGATTTCACCTTAAAAGCCCTGGTATTAAATTTTATGCAATACAATTCAAAGGTAGTCATTAAATCCATTTTCCGTAAGACACTACGACGAGGTGGTGGTGCAACTCATCAATCTGTAAGAGAAAGCCCAAACTTCTTTAAAAGTCTAATAATCCAATAAAATTAAATGCAAGGCTAATGATAACACCCCGAAAAAAGTTTCAATAACCAATAAATTTTCACACTACCCTTTGGCACAATTCCTCGGGCGACCAGATCACGAAAATTCGATATCTCCCACTCCAAGTTCGCAATAAACCGTCGATTTGGAAATATAGGCGAATCGTTCGGAGGCGCATCCTTCGACTCCTCTTTCGTCTTCTTCAATCTTCTCGAGGTCAACTGGCTCGAACCCTGCAAAGACCGGAGGATGACGATCTTCGAATCCCATTGAAATTTGGTTGAAGCCATTAGAGTTGCATATATGTACAAACTAGGCCGTACGGTTGTTTTAGTAGCAGGTAATTCCGAACTACCTGAACTTAACCTGGATGCTGCTTTCGAGTAATTGGAGAGAAAATTCCTAACATCTTTCGTCGTCCGACATCCACGAGCCAAGCATCCCCATGTGAACTAGAAAAGAGAAGTGACAATTGTTACGACTAGAGCTTTCACGAACTAACTGAGATGTCCACTGTATTAACCCGCTAAGTGTGCAACTATTCCAATGCCGCTAAGTTGTCATCTGAAATATAATCAAAGCTAGAAAAGGAAAGCAACAGAAAACGACTTGTTGGATTAGTAGGCAAATTACCGTCTTTAGGGAAGCAGATCTATTATCACGATCTTAATGCCGCTCGTAAACAGTGAAGGGAGGGTAGGGCCAAATTTCCTCTGTCCCAAATTTAAGGTAACATAAAAAATCCCAGTTACTCGGAAATACGAAGCAAATATAATGAGTGGCACATTCAATTATCCGCCTTAACGCATAAGGAGTAATAGCAACATACCTCATCTGGAGAAAGACCCTGGCGATTACCAATAGCCATCAATTTGTCCACAGGCAATCCATGGGTGGTACGTCTCTGAAGGAGACAATTAAAAATGGGGAGGTCAAGGATGACACCGTTAGACTTCATGGCTTTCAAGAAGGCCGTCTCCCATCGGTCTAATTCTGAAGTTGTATCTAGCGCAGGTGGAGGAAGCAATGCAACCATTTTGGTCATCAATGGGGAGGTGGAGGTTTGAGTGAGCTGTAAAAGAGAATCACATAATAACTTTACATGGTCAATATCAGGGAGCCGCCAATAAAAATACAAACAACACTCACTTTGAAATGGGCTGTAATGCACTCGAGAAAGCCTTCAAATCCACCCAGTAATGATAGCCGCTGCCATGGCGCTAAGTAATTCCGATCAGAAGGAAGGTCTCTCTTTGAAGGAATCTGAACCTGTTTGAAAGAGCATAGAAAACTGGATATCTTCCTTCCATTTAGGTTATTGAGCATGCATATATTAGGATTTAAAAAAAGCTTAACCAGCTCCATTCCCATCTGACTACTATCGACTCTATGACAAGATAATAGTAACCTGGACATAGTTTCATTCATGAATTAGGGAGTCAATCAAGAAAATGTGATTGGGTCAGTAAAAATTGGGTTACATTTTCGAACAAAGAAAGGGGCTGACTGTCGCGAATTCACTACCCGCTCGCATTTTGTTTTCCTTTATGCAAATTTATTTCCCAGAGTAACTGTTGTTTTCATAATATCATGTAGAAGAGAAACAATAACATTTCCAGAATGACAAAAAATAACTCAGAGCGCATGAAATAGCCGGCGGATTAAATGATTGGCGGATCAAACATCTCAATATAATCGAAATAATGGTGTCGATTAAGGCCTTTTCAAAAAAAGAGGGGAGATAGAAAGTAAAAAAGTGGAGAATTGTAAGATGTCTATTAATTGCATTGCAAAACCCCGCAAAGCAAGCTCGATGCTTGAATAAACCCCGATCTAACTCATCGGTAAACATGCGGTGAACAAGATTTCGTTACCTTTTTGGAAAAAAAATGCGTATTTTCCCACCTGTGTATGTCAAGAACTCACAAATTAGATGAACTAAATAGCTTACCCCATTAAGTACAATAAAATTAGGGAAGGGTAGTGAGCAGAGTAGTGTTGAAATTGCCATCTGCTAGCACTCTGAAGACCGTGAACATAATCAAACCCACAAATCTAGGAGTCTAGCGCTAATATCGAGAATTACAACAAAGGCAAAGACGTGTGCTGTCCTGACTTAAACACCCATTTCTAATTGACCCACCTCCTCCATTCATGCCTCAGTGAACTCGTTTGCTGTATCTGATGAAAAGTAAATAGTCGGCATTAATGACCGCATTAGGCGTATTAAATAGACTCCCATAGTTATTGTCCACAGAGATTAAAGTATAACTCTGGCTGAATCAAAGGGAAGCATTGAGTAGTAATAATTTTTCCGACTAAGGCAAGTTGCTACCCACATTAATTGCGCAAAATGCTCTGTTTGTTTGCCTAACCAATTCATGAGGTGAATGCATACTTCTGAAACAAAGAAAAAGTTTGGAACCTTGATCTCAGAACTAATCAGTAACATCAGCTTCTTTCAAACTGGTGTGCATACTGTGACTGTATAGGCGTTTTTTAATAAAAAGCGTTTACGCGCCATGCAGAAAAACGTTGGGGTTTTCCTAGTAATTCCCTACAACTGAGTGCTGTAATTGTTTATGAGGATGGAGCTTTAAGGAAAATAAATTTAAATGTGCTGTAGAAATCGAAATAGCTATTTTTAACGGAAAGTGAGAGGGTTATGAAAAATAATCAGTACCCACTTGGTTCTAAATGGAAAAAAAACATGCACTGTGCTTTTATGGCTCAATTGTACAATTCCACTTGTGCACTTGACTGGTTTAAATTACATGAAAACCGGAACTTATATTGTTCTCAACTTTCTATAGGGCGTTTATATTTGCTTCTGTAAGAGTTTTCAAAATGGACATTCTTCCTATATATCACCACTACTTAAGTTTTTCAAGTAGCATTTCAATTAGAAATAAGACGTTAGTTCATTAAAGCCACAAGACATGGCGCACTAAATGTTATGTGATTCAATTTGTAGTCAATAAGAGATACAACATATCCCAGAGCTGGAATATTTTTAGAACTATTCCAGAAGCATGAAAGTGAGTTCAGGAAGACAAACCAGTTTTGCCGAACACTAGGAAATGTTTATTATTCAATTTAATTGCCTTGAATTAGCTAGAACAATACCAAAAAGTAAATCCGCCTCCTAAGTATATTAGTACACAATGATGGCCAAATATACGATTTCAAATAAAAAAATAACCAGATTAAGATTAAATAACAAATGAATGAGTGTATTCGGGTAATTTCGTTGTTTAAGATAAACTGCTGGAATTCAATTTTTACCACAAGAGATACACTTAAATTAGATCAGATTTCAAGCTGTTTGTTCACTTTTACTTTATTGGCATAGTTCATTAAGTTGGGTTCTAAAGCATTTTACCGATTTCGTATCCGCAGTGTTCAGATCTATTATACCGATTAAGCAAATTGAAGGTGTGCATTGTGTCACCCCCCTAAGCTTGTCTCTTAGACAAAGTAAAGAAAATGAGGAAAGAGATTTGTAAGATGGGAGAGCTCATTCGAGTTCACTCAGTAACTGGTGACATGGTAACATCATGGTTTCATCTACTTACTGCGACACCATCACTAGAGAGCGGAAGTAGAAGATTCACGGGACTTTTCATGATAGTATCCACATCATTCCAATCCAGGGTGATTGTTTCAAGTAGGGAGGAGCAGGCAGGAGAAGACTCTGAGGGAACGGTATTTAGGGAATACTGAGGTAATGTAGGGCTTGTTTGAGGGGCATCTATCTGTTCATGGGGAGCATCACTAGCAGCAAGAAGGGCGGTTTGTCTGATCAAATCTTTAGCCGCCTGGCCGGAAGCTACAAGACGAGGACAAGATGGAGGCCGTAGTTCCCGTAGACGCGGAAGACTCTCGGGAATAACCTGTGAGGGGGAAAATGAGCATTAATCAATTGTTGAGCAATATAATGGTCGTCAGAATAATTTAAGGTAGACCATTTTCTGATAATGAACCCCTAATGAGTCTATAAACTATTTTCAAATAGCCACAAATCCAAATATCAATTATTTCCTTTCAAGTTAGCATCTATTTTTATCACTATTTTTTTCATTTCAAAACATTTCCTATTCGCGTTTTAGATATGCTCCGTGCGAGTTACTTACCTCAAGGTACATCCTTGTTGTTGATCCGCCTTTAAGTCGAGTACCAGAAGGCAATGAGAACCGACTTCTTTTGGTTTCACTCAAAGCAGCAATGCCCGCCATGAGTGTAAAGTGATGTATACTAGGACGACGATGTGGCAGTCGAGGAATAATAAGATGCCATACATGGAGAGCCAACCGCAAGGCTTCCAGAGGCGACGTGAGAACACCAGCCTTGTAAGATTGTTGAATGGCAATCAGGACGGCGTTGAGGGTGTAGTCGTCTGGACGGAAAGGAGGCAAGGCTTCGGCGACGCAGGTGTAGGGAACCGAAGGAGGAGTAGATTGGATTGAAGGGAGACCACCACGGCCCAATAGCATAGCATCTAGAGCCTGGAAGCTGGAATGGAGGTCACCGGCTAAAGGGAAATTGCAAAATAATCGATAGGCATATAAGGGAAAAATTTTGATCAAAACACCTTTTGCTAGCCCAATCTACCAACTCAACTTGGCCGTTCAAGAAAATAAAAAGATAAAAACCTAGCATTAATCTCATTGAAATGGAAGATTTTCAATTATGAATAAGCATAACCAACTTCAATCCCAGTGATTTAGATTTATATGCCTTCAAATAACATCAAGAGACGCAACAGTTAAGGTTGGTTAAAATAAAATGCATTCAACTCAAAAGTGATGGTTTGGTTGAACAGTGTTTACAACCAAGGATTGCAAATTTGTTTTAGTCAGACTTAATCTACTCTATTCGAATAGTTTTTTATTACTTAAGCTAAAAAATAATTGATCTTAGCATTACTATCAATTTGAGATTAAATTAAAGCAGCTTTTGACGGTAATCAATACATAAACTTGAAATGAAGAGTGTATATGCATTCTATTAAATTTTGATCAAATAAAAATTAAAAATTATCCATCAAGTCTAGCAGTAAAGGTGACGATTGCCCTTTATCTTGGTTCTTCAATAAAACTCAAGGACGTCAGGCAATGTCAACTAATAAAATGAGGGGAAGTGAAACATGTGCAGTATAGATTAAGCATTAGAAATCCATTAAGGTGATATTTAAAATAAACTTCAAGTTAATAAGGCAGAGAGATTAACTTAAACATTTGAATATGATGAGAGAAGTATTGCCACACGAAATAAATGAACGTTCAGTCCACAAAAGACAACTTTCAACAACACATGGCCACATTGTTCAAGATCTAAACAATTGATCCAAAGCACAATTGGCGCAGGTCGATCAAATACTTACCAAATTCAGAATGTGCCATGTAAATAGTGACAAAAAAAGCATTTACTCAGTTAGATAAACTTAAACGCACCCTTTGCTAAAGCCTGTAGAAGGGTATTGTAGGTGATTCGAGACATTCTGTAGCCCCGTTCGTGCAATTTGATCCAAAGACCCTTTGCTCGTTCCAAAGCAGGACCAGCAAATAATTCCAGGTCTAGAGCAGGACTTAAGAAGAGTAGAAAATCAAGTCATAAAATCGAATGAGGAAGATACGAATTTTTGCGAAGAATAAAAAATTCTCCTAACCTGATTTCTTCCGCACCATTTGGTAATTTAAAATGGTATCGATGTTCGCGTTGCCAAGCTGCTATGTCCTCAGTACAGGCTCTAGAGGAAAAAAATATATATTTATAATATTGGGAAACATAAAATTCAGTTATATGACAAAATTTGCAGACTACTTCGATTTCAATCCATACATGTTGTCATTAAAAATGTAATATTATTATACGTTACGAAAAGAAAAAACGAAAATCAAATCCTTCCAATTCATTAAACATCGCTTAAGGAAACGACGTAGAAAAAGATGAAGAAATTCTTAAAAGTCAATGTCGTAGTGGTTAAAGAGGATGTCTGCTAGGCATAAAATCTGGAAAATATAACTATAAAATAATCTTCATTGGAAATATAGAATGAAAAATAACAAAAGTGCAACATATTAAAACGAAAACGGGCCAAAAAATTATCTAAAACCTGAATGGCCAACCATATTCTAAACTTAATAAAACTGTATTACAATAAATCTAGAAGGGTAGGCAAATTATAAGCGTATAAAGTAAAAGAATTAAATGCTAATATAATAATTGCCTGAAGAGTCGAGAATAAGTCGAATTGGTAGCTTTTATTCCCAGCTCTGTCATCTTTCGATAAACACGAAAGGCATTATTGGAATCTCCAACATCAGCAAGCCCGGTAAGAAGAACATGAATAATGTTGACATTCGGCATCACACGATCAACGGTAAGCATTTTATGAAAGAAAAACTGAGAAAAAAGAGACATAATTTAAGTAGAACAAAAAGACTAGAAATAAATGTTATTGGCAAAGTCTTACTTCGGCTGCAGCTTGAGCATTGCCTTGCTTGCAAAGACGGTTGATATTATGCAAATACCACGACGGTTCATGATTACGTCCGGTTTTGGACAACCGCAAATGATGATCTGCAGTCTCTTCTTCCTCTTCCACAACTTCATTCTCATCAAACTCTTCATCTAATTTCAAAAGGTCAGCTAAAGAAAATTATAAGTGGCTCAATATGTATCCCACATTGATCAGCAAGATAACCAAAAGCAGGCTGGGACTTTTGCGCAATTACTTGATTCAAAACAGGATTTCGCATAGACTCAATCTGAACATTAGGAGCAATCGAAGGAACTACCGGATTTTGAAACCGATAGACCCGTTTATCAAGATCGGTGACTAAACGCATAAGCTGAGGAGTAGTCACGGATCCAACGCACCGATATAAATGCACAAAAAGAGGCAAAGAATCATGTATGTGTTTCATGATCTGTTATATTTTATTAATATTTAGTTTTAAAATATCGTTGCGAAGCGCACAAAAAAAGCATCGGCACCAGAACACACTCGCACTAGTAAATACCTAAGTGCCGCCAGTCTAAAAGAATATTTAAAAAAATTTGGTATAATTAATATAGTATCTATCACAGAAAGTTTTTTTAAATAACCCATTTTGTTAAAAATTTTTGGTTATTTCATATTTGAAAAGTGGGAATACATGGTCTATTTATAATAAAAGTTAACTTCTCGACACTATCGAATTTTGAGCTTATATGTGTGTGATTTAATGCGCTTTCAATAGAAAGAATATTTAGATTAGATAACAAATTTCTTCATAACTATATTTAATTTTCTAATATTCAAAATGATTCCACAGATCTTAAGGTCTGATTCCTTTCTTATTATACATGTATTTATTTAACCTATGATTGATTGTAAATAATATTGGCGAAACACAATTTAACGTTCATTTTAAAAATAATTGTCACTTATGAGTAAAATACAAGTTAATCTTGGTAGTAATGAATTCGTGCCTTTCAATTTTTCAAAGGAAGTTTATTTCATATTATTCTAGCAACTATCTATTACCTAACCGAAATTCAAAAGAAAGGTCACCAGAAGCAACAACATTGAAATCGTTTACTCTTAAAAATGACATTAAATATTTACTTCCAATGCTGTTCTAGCGTCACCGGTAGTATTAAAAGACTTTTTCATTAAATATTCAAGCACTGGGTCTTTGGATTAATTAGGATTACCACAACGACATACAGATTGCCTTCAAATTAATGAATATCATAAAGCCTCGTGCTGCATAACTAGTATATTATCTCAATACTTGAGGTCTCACTACTCAATAATTAACCTTCGATTGAAAAGTTTAGCCTTAAAGCAGAACGTTTATGAAAAATAACAGCGATTAAGAATTGCATATTAGCCAATTGTGAAATATCAAGAAGAGAGTAGATTTAGCTTAATTATTGAATATTAAAATAATTTAAATTTTAGGTTACATGAGAAGTCTCACTACTTTTGAAGTAATTTAGCATGTAAGATTAATGTAAAATGAATTTATACCGAATTATTTATGGAAACGTTTTTAACATGTGTGCTCCAATCCAGATCGCATCATCATGTTAATCAAGAAACTGGTTTTAATTAACGTTCAAGAAAAATTGCACTAAAGAGATTACATACATAACTTAATATTCACCCACTTTTTCATCTTATAGCAATCTAAATGGAAGATACATCATTACAAATGCGTGCCAACTATATAGAACATGAATAAATTTTACGCTCCTAACGATATCTCTCTTTTTAGTTGTCTAAAATAATTTTAAAAAATTACAAAACAGTGAACTTCTATTTGTAAACAGAAAAATACATGAATGTAATTTAGAACCAGTATGACTATATACTCTCTTAAAAATACACGTCGGAGTCCACACGTTTTTTGATATATTGTTTCTTTTAAATTTTATACTCTCGTTGATACAGTACAAGCAGTTGAATTTGAAATAGAACATAATTTATTGACATCAGATATAAACCCTTTAAAAAAGGGTTCGGAGATGTCTGGTAAACCGCATTAAATTTTTTAAAGCCATTTATATCTGTGACATTCCGCGATCTGATGGTCTATTATATGCGTTTTCTGTGAGCATTCTGGCTTCCAGACCATTGTAAAGATTCTTCTGCATCTTATGATTTAAAGTCTTAAGGCATTACTCGACATTTCATTCACTATTAGCTGAGTTAAATATTTCGGCGAATGAGTAATAACACAAAGAAAATGATCAATTACTTTAGTTAGGAAATATTAAAAGTCTAAAGAGTCTGGTAAAAATTGAAATAATTATTGGGAACATGTTTTTAAATCCTGATTTTTTGAAGGTCTTGCAATTTACAATTAATATTGGTGCCTGAAAATGGTCAGGCCTTACTTGATATACATTAATTTAACAATTAACAATTTAAGGTTTTCAAATAAAAAACTGATTATATGAATCACTTGTGTATGTTTCAGGCTTTATAATAACATATATGAGAGACCTATTGGGTAATATTACGAAAAAATAGTGCCATTAGCAAATAACTTTTGCCAACAAATAGCTCAATGCAATTGAACCTTAATAAAATGAAAAAATAATTACAATGCAAATGCAAGCAATATAGCTTCTATGATAATAAATTGTTTGAATATTCCAATTTTCCATTAAATTAGTGGAAATTAGACCTAGTGTTTGGCCATCGTGATGTGCGTACATTGTTCTCGTTTTTCGCTATTTCGTTTTTTGCTTCCTATTTGATAAATTTTCTATCTAGTTATTTTGATTAACTATATGTTTTTTAACGTTCTTTTGGTAATTAGAGTTTAAGTGTTTTTGCCTCCTGTTTGGATGAATAATTGTTAGGCATTTTATCGATATATACAAATCCTCTGTGCTTTATATCTCCTTATATTTGCTTAAATTTCTTAACGTAACTTTACTTTACATGAATCAATTGTATATATTTACAAATTATATTGTTTTTTTTCTTTTATCTAATTATTAATGATCTCCGCCTCTTGTTGACGTTTAGTTAATGGTGTGTGTTATTTTATCTTTCTTTGCTGTGATTTATATATTTTACAGTATCTTGGGTGATGTATGGTTCAAATGAAAATTACTACGGCACTCTAATCCCGCCACTGAATTTTGACGTCGGCGAAGCTAGAAACATGTTGCCTTCCGCTTCTAATCGTAATTCCGAGCAACCTCCCCCTCCAACTCAAATTCCTGTTGATATTGCCACATCACTAGCGTATCAACTATCCGCCGCTGCTAATGGGCAAAATCCCAATGGACCTAATGGCAACGAACTAATTGATCGGGATAAATTAAATTACTGCTCTGTTCCTCCCACTGGCCTTGAATATCCATCTAATTGTTACCCTCCTCCTCAATCTAACTCACCTGCTGATTACAATGCAATTTTATTGTCTCGAGGAGCACCCAGCAATGGTAATAATACCTTTTATCCCGGGAATTCATGGCCTTATCCTAATCCAAATCAAGAGGTTGACGGTGTTTATCCCCATCCTGCGGGACCTGGTTATCCCCCTGGTGATACGTTACAATCAGCCCCCTACAATGCTCAATTTGGTGATCGAATGGGAGTAAACGGATCTCCTTATATGATGTACTCCAATGGTAATGCGGATGATCTTGTTGAACGTTTCAATTGCGTTAGCTTAAATGATGCAATGTCGGCTCAACAACACTTTCTTTTCCCAACTTCTTCTCTGAATCAAAATGAGCAGCTAATCGATAGTCATTGGCAACATTTTGTCGGGAAAGTAAGCTTTACAACGTCAATTTTTTAATATCTTTTTCGATTGATTGGCTGATTGATTGTGTTATTTTGCACTTTTAATCCGGTGTTAACATTTTCAGATATGCATTAACAGGTAAGTTATTAGTGTTTTTGGCTGAAAAAGAAGAAAAATGAACTGCTGTTTTTTTCATGAGCTACTGCTAGCTCTTGCGTGTCTCTCCTGGATCCTGTTTTAAATCATTCTCTTCTCTCTCGGGCTTTTCTGTATTAGTTGACCTCCAGATCGTATCATACAATTTTTGGCACTGTGTGTTTTTTATCTAATGACTTATTTAAATGTAAAAATTGACGTCATCTTGCAGTATATTCCGTTGTGTATCCTATACTCATACCTTATACAAGTTCGTCAAGAAATTTGAATGTATCGAATTTGTTTATTTACACTTCTTAGATTGTTAAATATTGGGTTACTCAATCGTGTTTTAGCTTGTCACTACTTTTTTTCAATTTTAACAGGATCGCAATGGTTATCCCATGATGGGATCTGGTACAAATCGACCGATCGATCGCTATCCTCAACAGGATGGTTGCTTTGCTATGAACGGTGATGTATCTCGAGCTTGGTCTCTTCTTAGTGGAATGAAACCGCTAAACAATGCTGGTCCGAATCCCGGTGATATCTGCAATTGGCCTTTGGCAAAACGTTCTACCCACTTTGGTCCAAATGACCTGGCCAGTGTAATGGCCAGTCCTGAACTATCCAGCGATTTGGTGGGTATTGGATATAGGTAAGTGTCTTTTCCACATTTTAGTCGATAAATAAACCCTTATCTCTGTTGTTCACTTTGTTACTTAGGAATAATCGATACCGTCCAAGAGTACAAAAGAATGGTGAGCGACCGCTGCCTAGCGCACCTCGTGGAATCATTAGGAATGGTGTCTACGAACGATTTAAGGATAATGGTAATGGCTCTGTTGTAGCGTCTACGAATGGAACTGGTGATAATTCAGCTTCGACGGGTAGGTTGCCTCGTCTCTTTTTTTTTCATTGTTAACGAGCTCTTTAACTCTATGCTAAGATTTGATTTGTTACCATGTCTCATTCTTAATGTGATTTAATTGCACCTTGTCTAAGCGTCAGATTTATGCTGGATTGTCAATTACTAGATTAAAATATTAATAGAATCTTGTCTCGTTGTTAAGTAATAGATTTCATAACCTTTTTACCAGCTGTTATTGTTTAGCTTTGCTATTAGTATTCGGTCTTTCTAAATTGCGAGCTAACTTGCACTTTTTCCACACTTGTCTTAGATTAAGTTCCTTTACTATGTGTTTTAGTTTATGTCAAACGATTTTTACGAATGATTGAATTTCAATTTTCCATCCCCTCCCCCTCTTTGTTTGAAGTACCTTACCTGAATTTTGTTTCTTTTCCATGGTGAATAATTTCATTTTATCTCATAATAATACTATTACTCCATGTTACTTCCAAGCCGTATTATTTACCGCATTGATTTCATGATTTATTTAAAATTCCGCACCCCTAATGTGCCAATTGAATTCCAAAAGTAAGCTCTTCTGTAAGTGAAACGTAGGTGGTATCAGCTACTCATAGCAGACTATATTCTCATCTGCCATCTCTCAATAGTCAAGTTCATTGTATGGTATATCGAAAACTGTCACAAACAACCCGTATTTGAATTCGATTTTCGTCGGTTCATAATTTCTTTGAATGAATTAAATAAGTACAGTCATCCGAAAAACTCGCACGGCGATAGAATATTGTTTAATGGGAAGAGAGGCAAGTGAATATCGTCTTATTTAAAGTTCATTTGCTGCTATCAACGAGCTTCTATAGGTTATAAGTAGGGTGGGGGGTGGGTGGGGGGGGGGGGGGCGAGTGGGATTAAAAGTGTGGCGATAACATGATCAACCACTCGATTAAATCAACTGGTAAAAATGCACTGAAAATTATGCTTGTGGACTTATTGAGCAGCACTGAGGCCTGAAATTAGAATCCTAGTTATTTAGATATATAAATCGAATGAGTCGAATTTCTCCTTTGTGCCGGCATTTAAGTTTTTTACTTATATTGCATCCATTTTACTTGACTATTTACATATTTGTGTGTATGCGTGCATTTTAATGATTGGGATCGGTATTTGTTTTGTTTTATTATGCGCAGTACTAGTAGGCTCTTACTAATTCTTAGCCTTTTATCAAAATGAGGTGCATTTTTATTATTAACACGTTTAGATGAGGGGCTATCTTCTTAATCTGTTGGTGTGTTTACTTTATTTTACTTGTTTTACTCCTTGTAGTATCTAAGACTTCAGCAAGCAACGGTAGTGGTGGAGATTCCCTCCAAGCCCGCCTCATGCGTCAAATCAATCCACCCAACTTCAACAGCTCACCGTCTCGAGCTCGTTTCTTCGTGATCAAGTCTTTCTCAGAGGATGACATTCACCGTTCCATTAAGTATTCGATCTGGTGCTCCACGGAGGCTGGCAACAAAAAACTCAACGCAGCTTATACGGAGGCATCAGCTGCTGGAATACCTATCTACCTCTTCTTCTCTGTCAATGGATCGGGTCATTTCTGTGGAGTAGCTGAAATGACCTCGGGAGTTGATTATGCCACGAGGGCTGGAGTTTGGGCCCAGGACAAATGGCAGGGTCAGTTCTCGGTGAAGTGGTTATTTGTGAAGGATGTTTCGAATGCGGTACTGAGACACATTCATGTGGAAACGAACGACAATAAACCCGTGACACATTCAAGAGATACTACGGAGGTGCCGTTGGAGCAAGGGCAACAGGTGCTAGAGATATTTGCCAAATACGTCAACTCAACTTCAATTTTGGATGATTTTGACTACTACGAACGAAGAGAGCAACAAGAGGTAATATTCTTAATCGTTTTTGTAAATTTAAGGTCTTAGTTAGCAAATATGGCATTCTGTTCTTAGAATGACTGTTTAATAGGAACCAAAGATCATACTAGGAAAAATATATAAGACCTAGCTATTGACTTCAGATGAAAGATTTGTAAATTACGGTTTTACGTTTGCACGTGAAGCTTTCAGTCTTGATTGGTAGACTTTAATTCTTGTAACCATGTATTTTTTCGAAGAAAATTGCCTTCGTCTAATTAACTGAGACTCAACAATTTTTGAAGTGGCGATCACTTTCCCTTTTCCCTGAAAATATGCAGTCATTACTAGCATTCATATTTCTATTATTTTACTAACTTTCGTTGGTACCTTTGCCATTATTTTTTAAATGTGTTTACACTATAAGTTGGTGTTAGGAATAGGTTCCCAATATTCTTGCACTTACGGTGGCAGTCTTCCCAATGGCGTCTTATTTATGTGGTAAACTGGTCGTTTTTCTTGCATGTACTGGAATTCGATCTCAATTCCCACGTTTGGCCGTATGTAAACTTCATTTCAGTTCTCCGTGATGATTGCGTCGATGTAGATTGTACTTATAGTCCAGCTTCACTAGGAGGACGCTTTGTTTTGTGCCCATTTCTAATTTGTCTCTAATATCTACTGTTATTCATTGGTCAGCTTGTTAAATGGATTTCAATATGATTCCACACATTTTGAGCATACTTTCAGAATCCCACGACCTGTTTTCGAACGTATATTCATGTTACGAGATTAGTTTACAATTAAAATATTTTCTTCAGTTACAGAAGACCAGCACTAATGAATGATTTCGTGTATTTATCGTGTACTCATCTAATCTTTTTCTCAATAATTTCATAGACACTTAAAGGGGTGACTATTTTACAACTTTCATATTAAATTAATTCTGCTGCCTTTTAGCCAAAATGGGTTCGCCATGCTCCAGTGCACATTATGCATGCGGCCTGTCTACGTAGTTCGACCCTCCCCCC